TTTTGATGCAATACTAAATACTAAGGATGCTAAAGAGCAAACATCATCCTTAGCCTGGCTATTAAAGAAAAGAGAGAGAGGAAGAGAATATTGATCCTGCGAAGGCCTATAAGGTTTTTGATCAACATACCAATATCTTAGGCTGTAATTCTTATTTTGATAAGAGTTATGAAAAGTGTGTTAGTTAGTGGTTTACCTAAATACAATGGAATGCCTTTCCACAGCTGATGGTGGTTCCATTTCTGCTCTTTATCAGTGTGAAGCAGGTAATCTGAGTTTTTTCATCTCTGGGTACTTGTCTGCGGTGAAGAAAGATCTGTTAATTAGAGCCTTCTCAATATGGATTTTCTTTCTTTCTGTGTGTATGTGAGCAGAATCGGTCTTTTAACAAAGCAACCAGGAAAACTTGTATTAAGTGTTCTTTGGATTTGCAGGCAGAATGCAAACTTGTCACCTTTTGTGTTTGGGAAGGAGGCTCTGTCTCTTTTGCTGATGAGAGAATTGACTGAAGAGCAAAGAACAGTTTCATAGCTGATTCTTTGCCAGCATCTTAAGCCTGTATGAAATCAATAAAGCTGGCATCTATTTTTTCCAAGATACTTGTTGAGGGTACAGATCACCAAGGTTATATCAGCCCAGGATATCAGTGTGATTAGACATGTGGCATGTAAGCTTTTGTACTGTCTTTGGCCTTCAAGAAATGTATCAGCAATTACTGAACTAAGGAGAGTCATATTTTCAGATGGGGGCTGGGTTAGCATCTTAGTTTAAATGCATGGCAACATTACTACTCTATGGTCAGTTAACTGGTTGTCTTTGTATAAGTACAAAGATACCGCAGTAATGAATTCAAGGTTGCATTCTTTTTAATATAGTTGGATCATGGCAAGCTAACAATGGTATTCATTCTTACTGGTTTGAAACTTCTTTTTTAATATGATATACGGTATATAATAATTAATAACATATATATGCATGAAAGTGTTATTATCTTTACTGCAAAGGTAATCAAATGCTGGAACAAGTTGCCTGGATAGATTTTGGAGTCTTCAAGATATTCAATTTGGGCAGCCTGCTTTAGCTGACCCTGCTGAGCAAGGAGGTTGGAACTGGTGATCTTCAGAGGCCCCTTCTAGCTTCTGTGTTTCTGTGACTGTATTTGCAGCATTTAACTTGTGCTGTTAATAGACTGCAACTGCCCATGCCAGTTTTCATCCTGACACACTGTTTTATGACAAAATTTAAAATCCCTAGTAAAAGGTTTATAGTGGAAGTGCTGACAACCTTTTGTACAACGGTACAAATGCACCACTATTACATACACAGAAAACATGCAGTAAGGTCTAGAGTTTGAGTCTGCTCTATAACTCATGTAAGATAAAGCACTGGGAGTACTTATAAATAGCAATTATCAGTAGCAGTCTCCTGATTTTCTGAATCATGCAGCCCTCTAATATCTGCTTTTAATTTCCTCTTACATTATTAGAATACCTATTTCATAGTGTATTTCATCTGATTTTCTTGTACTTTCAGAAATAACAATCAAAAGAACAAGTTGAGTCTACTTCGAGAGTTGTTGCTGTCTTATTTTCTTATTTTGAGATATGTTTGTTATCTCTTGAATTCTTGTAATTCTAGGATTGTACTTTATTTTTGGTAGAGTAATGCATTGTCCTGTTGCAGAGACAGCCCAGTAGATGCAGTATCTGTGATTTCAAACTGCAAAGCAGTTTTTTGTTTGTTTGGTTGGTTGGTTTTTTTAGGTTTTTGTTGCTGTTTCATTTTTTCCCTTACCATCATATTGGGTGGGTTTTAGAAACTGGAAACTATTTCAGAGATATTCAAAGCTGGCAAAAATTCCCCCTTTCCCTCCCACCTGAGATTTGCTGAATTTGAAGAATAAGAAAGGAAAAGGATGTTGCACTTCTGGTTTTTGTCCTGAAAATGGTTTCATTTCTGCACTGAGAACAGTGACTTGGTGTTACTGGACTGATGCTGAATGGACCTAATTCCTCAAGTTGCAGCACACTCATTTCTCATTAATTTTAGTGGCAGTTGGAACTGCTTGGAACTTTGAAGTCAAATTAGGAAAGCCTGTTGGGAACTCTTCTGGGGGAGGAAAGGTATTGTAATAAGTCTAAAATATTTACCCTTTTTAACTCAGTGAGAGGAAAGTGGTCTGGACAGGGAGCTGAAAGGAGAATGAAAAGAAGAGGAAAGACTCCTTGATTTTGGATTGAAGAAAGAAGCCTATCCTCCTTGTAGCCACCTGAGAGCTAAGTCTTCAAAGAAAGGACAAACATCTGCCAGTAAGAATAAGCTTAACTTGCTTGTTCTGATATTTTTTTTTTCCTTAAGCAGAAGAATATGTTGTAATAGAGGAGCGTAGGAAGAAAAGGAGGGTTGTTGGAAGATGCCTAAGTAGGGAAGACATTTTTTGTTTTATACTTAGGAAATGGCCAGGAGATCTCTGGGCCAGGACTTTGGGCTGTGGCTGCCTTGGGGCACAGTGTTGTAGGCTGCTTGGTGTGCCATGTGTCGGCACCAAGAGATTACAGGAACAAATCTGCTGCTGTACAGACTGGTCTTTTAGTAGAATTCTGGACCTCTCAGTCCAGAAATAATTTTCTAGGTACATGACTTCTTGGAAGTGTACTTCTTGATGTTATATGTCACTAATGGTCCACCTCCAATTTTCATGGGAGGAAGCTATTACCCCAGCGTCCCATGTAACAGGCTTTTTTCCACTTATTCATACTTAGAGATAGTAGTGGCTTGGTTTTGCCATTCAGGATGGCTTGAGCAGCACTCTGGCAAAGAAGCAGAGATGTGTGTGTGTGCATGCTTCATGTCCTTTCTCACCATGAAATATGCTTTTAAAATGTTGAACAAAGCATTCACTTGTCTCTTAAGTCTTTCATTAAAGTACTTGTTTATTTGCAGTCTGTATTCAAATATTTTCTGTTCATGCTGTGTCCCCTTGGTCACTATTAGCGTTGAACAATTTATTTTACCTTATCCATGTTTCAGTGGCTGAGGCTGCATGAGGAAATTCTGATAAAAGCCAGGAGGATTTTTCCTCCTCTTGCACTGGTAGGGGAAAATTTCATCTGTTATCTTTGCACTTATCTACTCCTAAGTTTTAGTGCCAGATATTAAAATCATTGGTTATGTTCATTCAGGAATATTTATCAGTTTATTGAACTGAACTACATTTATTAGATAAAGTTTTAAAGAATAATGTACAAAATGCCAGCAGTTTCCCCAGGTGAGCAGTTCTTTGGACAGCACTCCTCCCTTCCAGGAGTTCAGATTTGCTGCCTCTCAGCAGTGACTAAGCACTTGCTGCTTTTTAGATTATCTGAGTACTTGTAAGGATTTCTGATAAATTTATTGCTATATAACTGCACAAAGATTTGCAGTATCCATTTTATTGGCAGGCATATCAGAAGAGACAGCTAACTTGCTGGGTATGATTGTTAACTTGGGCATGAAGTCAGTCAGCACCAATGACCAGAGTGGTTTCATGTCTCTAACAGTGAAATACTGACTTCAAACCTCGGCAGGCAGCAGGCCTTCCTCCTGTGATGCTCTGTAAAACCAAGTTATTAAACACCCTGTGGAACCTCCAGCAGTGCCAGCTGGCTGTTAAGCCAAATTGCCTTTTTTTCTCTATTATGAGCATAATACTGTATGGTTGTGGAGCAGGCATTCACTGGCTGCTGACACACGCAGTACTGTGCATGTGTGGAAGCATCCTCAGGAGCAAAGAACCCCATGAGTTCTGTGGTGCCTGCAGCCAGGCCGAAGTTGCTCACACTGGGGCATGCATTCATGTTCCTCTTGTCTTTGCATGTAGTTCCACCTTGCTTTTGTTCCCTTACACTGGGTGCGTGTGTGGAAGCAGAATGGGAAGATTTTACAGCCTAGGAGGAGACTGGGAGCGCTTTGTGCTGGAGAATCCCATTTGAAAAGGATGCTTTTAAGCCATGTCGATTTTATACCTTTCTCATTTTGCTGAGGCATTTTGAGTCCTCATCACTACTGTTCCTCACCTTGTTTACTGAACTTTTAATCTGCTTCCCTGCATTTAAAGGTCCTTCACTAAGCCTCTCCGAGCACTACCTTGCTTGCCAGAGTGCTATTAAGCTTTTGTTGGTGAAATACAAAGCAAAGTGTGCATGTAGCTGATGCACCAGAAAGCAGAAACAAAGTACAGAAGCCCATTTGGGAATAGATTGCTGTGCTTTTTGACAGAGGTTTTGTAGTTTCCTTTTAATTAACTGTCACAATTAAAATATCATTTTAAAATAAACTCTCCTCTTTGCAAAAAGAAGTGAGTTCACGCTGTAGGGCAGGGAGAGCATATATCTGCCTCTGTGTGACCTTTGTCCTTTAAGATTCAGCAAAATTTCTTCATTTGTTGCACTTTTGGGGCTGTATAAGCCTGGAGGAGAAACATTGTCATTCAGAAGTCAATTCTGCTAACCCATTAGGAAAGTACATTCACACTAATGGTTCAATCAGTAACAAAGACCTACAGGAAGACATACCTGTTTCACTGTTCACTGATCTGGCAATTTGATCAATATTATTTTGAACAAGTCTTTTTTTTTACTTCATCTGTAACGTCTCTTTTTACAGACAGACTGAATGTGCACTATAAAACTGTACTGCAGCTGGTGCTTAAAGAACCAGCCATGTCTCTTGCAGGTTCTGAGTCCATAGGAGAGGCTCAGCTTCACCCACACAGTTTTGTCTGTTTTCAAATGAGCTCCTATTAATCTGTTGTACCCTGAGGGAGTAATAATCGTGATCTCTTTCCTGACTCTTTGAATCATCGCTGTTCTCTCCACCAGAATTTCTCAGCACATACCACAGGATTTCCCCATGCTTCCAAAATGTTAGAGAGGCTTTCGGGCTGTTTGGAGTTGGCTGTTGTGTTCTCAGAAGTGTAAAAATACAGGGATGACTCTGGGCTTACCTTTTATCTGTTGCAGGTGGCCTGTGCCTGAAGTTCTGAGGTCCATATCCCATAGTGCTGAGGAAGGGTTCCCGTGGCTCCTCGCATAGCCTGTGCAGTCTGCAGACAATGGATTGATTTGAGCTTGCCTTCCTTGGGCTGGCTGACAAGGCCGTTCAGCTTTGAGTCCATGGGATCTGCCTGGGTAAGGCATTGTCTTGAGGAAGAGCTGCTGCCAGTTTTTTGTTTTCCCTGCCGCAAGCTAACTAGAAGCTAGATTTTCAAGACAAGGTAAGAAACTTATATGAAAACATTTATACTACTTTGGGTCAAATGCAGTTGCATCCAAAGAGCCAATTTGGCATAGTAGCCAATTTTGCATAGATCAGAGGCTTGTAGCAAAGCAATTCATTACTTATGTTAAGCTGGTCTGGTATTTCATAGGATGTGCAATTTCATGTAAGCTGTGTTACACAGCAACAGAAACTTTTCTGCACACTGTGTGGAAAAAATAATGTTCTTATGCAGAGAAGGAGCATGTGTTGTGTTGGAAGGAGCTTCACAGATCATCAGATAAAATCAGGTTTATATTCTTCTGCTGTTATGAAATACTTTGTAGTGTGTTTAATATTTGGTTGTATCAAATTTAAATACATTGTAGGGAATCTTTGTCTAGAAGATGTCATTTAACAATGGAATGTGATTGACTGTTTGGAACCTTAAAGAACTGATAAAATGGCACAGAGGAGGTGAAAGCAGATAACTGATACAGCCAAGTTGTTAGTAGAGTCAATACAAAATGTGTCTGAATGTGGGCAAGGACGTTTTAATAAGGCTTTTATAGCAAAGAATTATGTGATTAGGAAGCTGGGGTCAAGAGTGTGACCCTAGAGTATGGCAAGTTGCATGACGTGAATGCAGAGAAGAGAATTGCTGTTGTGAACAGCGGACCAAAGGGAAGAGTGACAGCACCTGAAGAGCTATAGTAGTCTGATCTAGCAAATCAGTTAGGGCTGTCTTGACATGAAATATGAAAATAAATTTTCAGAGATCCTTGTCGTCTTAGTCTAAAATGTTTCTGTTATTTCCTGGAGTCAAGGCCAAAATGTTCTGCACTGTTCAAATTTCAGCCTCACCGGAACTAACTTGTAAATTCAGATAATGTACATGCCAGTAAGAGTGTAATCCTGACAGACTTAACAAAAAAAAACATCCCCACACATCATTAGGATATTTATTCTGTGCTACTCTTCAATTGCTACGGACTGTTCAGAATGGCTGCCATTGTCTAACACTGATTGTGACGTGCCTGCAATTTACTGAAGTTATCGATTTCAGTAGACAGAAAATAGTGTCCTATAGTCCTATAGGACTATAGTGTCCTATTTTCTCAGTCTCACAGCAATAAAATTCCATTATAAAATGCGAGTATTTCATGTACAGTCCCTTGTGTGAAGAGCATTTAATAGAATAAATGGTAGAAGTGCATTTGCAGTTTATGTAATGACTACCATGCAAGAAGAAGCACAGCCAAAAGTGCAGTTTTGCTGATCTGTGGGATGTATTTTACTTTACAATTCTTTTGAAAGATTCTTATTGGCACTTAAAATAGAGACTACATTGGACATGAGTGTAACTGCTTTAAGTATAGATGTTCTTATTTTCATTTTTTTAATCAAGGAGAGTGAAAACAAATTGCAAGCCATCAGCTACATCATCAACCATTTGTAGACATTCAGAACTTACAAAAAATCTTGTTTGACTTAGTAGGTGTACTTAGCATGTTTGAGGGGAGAAGGGTGAAATGCTTTTCTGCCTAGCTGACATTGCTTACTTAACAGACAGTAACAGGAGGAGGAAGCACATGTAAGAGATGCTAAGTTGTCTGCTGTGAGTCCATCTCTGTGCTGCATCTGCAAGATCCTAGTTTAGGTGCTAAAAATCTTTATCTAAAAATAGATTATATGAATTACCCCTCCAATAATTCTTCAGTATTTGTGTAAATCTTTTTTTCTGATGCTCAGTCCTCTAGCATCTTAAGAAGCCTAATGTTGCTCCATTTGATATGGAGTAGAGGTCATTCCTGAATGTGTTTCTATTAAGAATTTTTCTCTAATTGTGCAATATACTGTTCCTTTTTGTTTTGTTTTGTTTTTGTTCAATGATGTCTATGTATTTCTCTTTAATGTCTCTTTTGTGGTCTTCGAATATCAAAATAGACCTCATTATTGCCTTGGGCAACTTTCAAAGTCCTTTGTGAATTGCAGGCTTGACATTAAGGCAATTATATATAAATTTTACTTTGCAAATTTAAAATAATGCTGTCACATGCATCTTTATTTTAATGTCATAGTCCTACCAGCATTTTTATTTCTTCTAACCCTTTTTCTTAATTTAGAGATTGGCACATTTCTTGACTTAAATGATTGCTTTATGTTGGTATCTTCTTTCTTGGTGTGAAATCACTTGGCTCATCTATCAGATTTCTTTGCTTGTCAGTGTGTGCTTTACAGCTAACACTCTTTTTCTTGCCAATTAAAAACACACTGAGATCATAAACTTTTTTTTTTTTTTTTTACTCCAGTGTTACTCTTGGATTCAAACAATTTCATCCGATTTTTACCAAGTGAAAGGATACAATCTTATTCAATTTTATTAAAGGAATTCTGTATGAAGAGGTTATGAGAACAGTGAGTCTTGCCTTCTCCTAGTCTTGCAATCTCTACACCTACAGTACTAAAGTTTGTCATATTACTTCCATTCAAAAAGGAGTACTCCTTTTATTTACCTTGCTATTTTTAAATTGGTGTTGTTATTGTTCATATGTGTACTGATAATTAGCAGCTACGTATGCTTGAAGGATGTGGTACACAAGATGAAAAATGTCACTGTGTGTTCATTGTGGATAACATGAGATTTTCACATTGTACTTCAACATAGCACATGGCCATGTACAACAGAAGAAAAAGCGAGGCAAAGATTTCCAGTGAAATGAGGTCAAATCCAGAAGTTCATATTTTCCAGGGATGCTGACTGTGAAATTCTGTTTCTGAAGGTGCCCCAGAGAGGTGTTCAAATAATGAAATACCCTCTGTGGTGTTAGAGAGTGAATGATCAACTTTCACTGATGTTTATCCATGTCTTGCAAGCCTGACTGCAGTCAGTGTGTTTTACTGATAGCTTCAGCAGAGCAGCGTGGTCTTACTTCTCAGTAAGTCTAGAAAGCCACTTCAAAACCAGCTCAGTGAAATGGAGTCCTGTACTCGCCGTGTCAGTATCTGGTGCGTGGCAGGTGCCATAGACATCAAATTTAATATTAGATCATTTAGGCCTAATTACTCTGTCAGCACACACTGTTTTGCAGTGAATTTATGCTTGTCTACTACACTTAAAAACATAGACTTCATGTTCCTTCCCCTTCTATTTTTCCCATTCTGCATGCCTAAATGCATGTCATATCTTAATTTAAAAGAAAAAAATGACAGCATGATATTTGAGAGGACAGTAATTGTCTTTAAGATGTCAATAAAATTAAATGACATCTTTCTTGTACTAGCTTTTCCTAAGCCCAGGATTTCCTGTGTTCTTTCAGCTGCATTTTAATGGGCTTTGAGTTCATCATGTTACTGCACTGAAGATAATCTCCATATGGTGGAGGTGCTGCCAGACCTACAAGAAGGGCATTGCTGTACCTCAGCATCCTGGAGACTTTTAACAGAGTTGTAGCCAATGAATTTTAGGAATTGCAAACATAATTATGTCCTTGTTTCCTAAATAATGAACCTTTTCATATTTAACAATATTGCTTTACATGTACCATAGTTTTTGAAGCTGTTATCTGAGTCTGTATTCTCTTGCCCAGAATGAATTCTCCCAGGGATACTGTATTAAATGAGGGTGAAAATAGATACCTTCAGTGTGAATGCATTGGAATTAAATTCATAACACATTATCATAATGGTAAAGAGATTGCTAAAGAAGCTTTTATCATTTTATGTTTGAAGAGTGTTTTAAAAAGTATAATTGAACCAACAACCATGGCTTGATTTTAGGAATGTGTGATAACCAAAGTTCTGATTCCATTCATCTGAAAGGATTCTACCCAAATCCCCGAAGGCCTGCTGAATTCATGTCTATGCAGATCATGTTGAAATGGTCCCTAATGTATGTGTTATGGTTTTTCTTTTTCCTTTTTTTTTTTTTTTTGAAAGAGAAGTCTCTTGGGACTTGAGCTCTTGGTACCAATATTTAGAAAAATTCTCTCTTTTTTAATGTATCACTGCTTGGAATGGTTACTGTATTTCCCTCAGTTACCTTATGTTTCACTCTTTTGTTCAGTAGTGCTGAGTTACTGATATCACAGAATCACAGAATTGTAGGGGTTGGAAGGGACCTCCAGAGATCATCGAGTCCAACCCCCCTGCCAAAGCAGGAGAGAGATATTAGAGAGCTATTTGTACTCTGAATATTAAATCTCTGTATGTTGCTTCTGAATTTTTTTAGTCTGCTCTTTGGACAAAGATACTTCTGTCCTGATCAACAGTGAGTTTAAAATCACCAGTTCCCACTGGCTTTTGTGTGCACTGGCACCTTTATGTGGTATTTAGTGTGGGCTAAAGTCTCTATCAGATAGAAGGAAGAGACTGCAGGGCAGGTGGGCATCACATGCTAAGTGCAGTTGAGGGTTACCTCCAGGTGAGATCCTGCCATGGTGAGAGTGGGTGCAGAGCTCCCTGTGCTGTGCTCTGGGTGCCGGTATTCCTATCAGCAGGAGGAAAGTAGCACACGGTGTCCAAAACTACTCGCGTTGCATTGCACACACGTTCATGCTGAGAACAGGACACTGCTGAGCAGCCCCACGCAGGCCTGGGGGCTGGAATGGGCACAGAGTTTGCCCTGGCCCTACTGTGCAGCAGATAGAGGCTGGTTACCCTAAGCCCTGCCTTGGAAATACTCTGGGCTGAAAGTAGAATACTGCTACAATTGTGAACACATTATTCTTGGCTCACTTGTAAGTGAGATTGTTAGTTTTTTGTTTGTGTACTTTGAAGTAAACTGAGTAGGAAACATTCCTTGCTTATTTCTCAGTGTAAGTAAATGCTTTTTATCTAATCAGTGAAGGTGAAGAATGGTAAAACCCTCTACGCACACATGATTTATCAGCATGAGTATTTTCTTCCTGCACAGGTGGTACCTCAAACATTTCTTCGGAAGGAGTGAAAAGCATGGCTAAAAAGAGTACCTCAAAATACCTGTCACACACAACCATAAATCTCCCTTAGGCCATTCTT